GTGTAAATTCGGCTTAAAAAGCGATTACTTAAAACTAAAAAAACCGGAATTAAAAAAAAGATCGGTCATTGCATATCGGTTTGTGGCTGAGCCACAAACGACCTGATTTTACGGCATAAGCTGACTAAATTATTGTTTTTTTTAACGTAATGTATTTTTATTGAAAAGTCGTATGCCGTCAACACTCGTAGCCCGTGGCTAGATTGCTTTTTGCCTTGTGGCTGTACTTATTTCCCAGACTTTTTATACCCAGCTATATTTATATAAGGAAATCGCCATTATTATTTTCTTAGTAAGTTGGTAATCATGGCGGATATGTTTTGAAAAAAAACTGTTCCAAATGCTATTGATTCACATTCATAACATTAAATGTTGCGAAAAAAATTGTTTACAAAACGAAATGGTTAGAATATCTCACCAGTTTAATTTCGTAGTTAAACTCTTGGCTTGAAAATGCCCTGATATAAATGTTTTTATGCCATATTTTAAAATGAATCAAGGTTTTGACAAAACCTTTGTAGCTTCAAGGTATATTTTTAACTTTGTTTTCACGGACTATATTTGTAATAAAAATAAGTAGCTTTTTATAGCTGTAACTAGTTTACTTATGTACAACTGTTTCTGTGCTTATTATTTAAAAATTCTAATAACATTTAACTAAAACATTATTATTTTGTTAAACAGGTTATTAATATAAATAATAGTTTTGCCACAGAGCTATATAAACAATTTTTATTTATTTTTTGCTATAAATGTAAATAATTAAAATATTAGATTTTTATTTCTTCAAAAAAAAATTTAATCTTCAAATTGAAGCTTTAATTAAAGAGGATCTTATAAGTTGATTTTATTGTTAATTAGAATCAAATATAATACAGTATTAGAGACTATAATATAAGAGTCTCTTGTTTTATAGTCTCCAATATTGTATTGTATTTGTATTTTATAATATAATATTTCCTTCAACTCTTTCTTGAGAACTCTCTTGAAAAGAGTCCTCAAGAAAGAGTTGAAGGAAGTATTTTTGAACTACCTAATTTTGGAATTTATGCAGGTGACACTATCTTATAAAATCATTTAATATCTGTCTCTAAAAATGTTACATTTCTTAAACCGCACAAAAACAACTTATGGAGTGTTGTAGAGAGGCTTTTAAGAAGATTCTTATTTCTGAAATCAATAATAGTAAATACTATTCAGTTTTAGCTGATAAAGCATCTGATTGTGCCAATCTTAAACAGTAGTCTATCATTATAAGATATATAGGCAATAACTATAATACTCGTAAAGATTTCTTAAGATTTGTTAACTGTCTTTAATTATTTAAATGTGCCCTTAGTCGGAAAATACAGGCATGTTTAAATAATTATCTTTCTGTTGAAAAAGCAAAGCTAATCAATGTTTGTTTTACTTGTTGGGTTTGAAACAAGAAAAGTCTAGGTATTTTTCTTTTAGTCTCCTCATAGTTGACGTTTGAATTTTATTTAAATGTAACTTTAGTTTTAACCAAAATTTGATGGATTGAATTTTTTATATCGCTACAATTGGTCTAATTTTGTTTATGAATTAGCTCTTACTTTAAACGTAAAAGAATAAAAAAAATAGAAAATGTGGAAAGCAAATCAATCATGATAATCACTCATCATCTGATTATTTTAAGCTTTCTATCACTTTACCTCTACTGGACCATCTTGTTAATGAACTTATTAATTATATAAAATTTCAAACAGAAAGCAAGTTGGTTTATATGGGATGTTTGCAGTTCCAACTGTCATGTTAAGCTACTTGAAAACTAACTAAGATTTGCAAATCTTTCAGGAATTTCTAGATATCTATCATTCCAACTCTGCATTCAACCTTTATTTATGCAGAGTTGGATTATGGAAGCCTCTTTAAAAAGATCAGTCAAAACCTCTATCTAATATTTTATAAACGAAACTCATGACTATGATTTATTTCCCCAACATTCTTGAATATTTTAAAGGTTTAATTTTAGGTACAATACCAAGAGATTAAAAACTTATTCAAGAAGTAGAGTGTTAAAAAAGTCATTGAATGACCTAGCTTTAATGTCAATTTATACCGAAATAGTTCTTGATAAAGACGGTGTTAACAAAAAATTTTCAGCTAATGGAGAGAGATGTTTAAAGTTGCTATTTAAGCCTTAAATAATTGGCTATGATTGAATAATAATTATATTTATATGTGAATAAAATGATTAAATCTCTCTTATATTTACAATCATTTTTTTGTTTTTTTTCATTGTTTAATTTACTCTTAGAGCATCTTTTTTTATTTTTTATAAATATTTAATAAGTAAATTTATTTTCTATTTTGTGTACATTTCATAATCCTTGACATCTAAAATGTAAAATGTTTTAAAAATTGTTCTAAACTAAATAATGTAAACCACTAAATAAAAAATTTAAATATGTGTTTGTTTCATTTGAGTATGCTACAAAAAGAGTGCTCGATAATCATAAAAAACAAAGATGTTATAAATTAGTTTCCTGAGGATTCTGTAGATAGTGAGACTGTTCAAATCTTTTCAGTATATATTTATATATAGTAATATACAACTTTAATATCTTAGTAATATTTAAGTAAATATCTTTTGAATAAATCACGATAGCATATTGTTAATGCAGTGATAGTTGCATTTATTCTATTAGTAACAAAAATATAAAGGAAAGAATCCAGAATTGGAGAGCTAACTTTAGGCAGCATAACAACTTATGGCAGCATAACAACTTAGGCAGCATAATAACTTTAGGCAGCATAACAACTTAGGCAGTATAACAACATATGGAGTGCAAAGTCCTATGGCTTACCTTCTAGTTGGTGCACTTCGTTAAGTAAATTAGACATGTCTAAATTACGAACAGAATAGCCAAGGCAAATTTTATATTTTACCATTAATTATTTTACTAGAATCCATTAAAAATAAATGAAAGAAATATATGTGCAAAAACTGAATTAAAAATGCTCAGATAAAAAAACTGTCTGGCGGCGTCTAGATGACGTAAATTGTCGGACGTCTTTTTGACGTAGACTAACCGACTTATTAAATAGTTGCAATTATGACCTAATTTTACAAATTTTAGCTACACCTATATAAAATCCTAGATCCGCCCCTGTATATATATATATATATATATATATATATATATATATATATATATGGTATATAATATATAAATATATGGTGTGTGTATATATATATATATATATATATATATATATATATATATATATATATATATATATGGTATATATATATATATCTATATATGGTATATATATCTATGGTATATATATCTATATATGGTATATATATATATATATATATATATATATATATATATATATATATAGTATATATATATATATATATATATATATATATATATATATATATATATATATATATATATATATATATATATATATATATATATATATATATATATATGGTATATATATATATCTATATATGGTATATATGGTATATATTGTATAAATATATATATATATATATATATATATATATATATATATATATATATATATATATATATATATATATATATATATGGTTTAACTTTATTAAGGTTATTCTCATAACAACTCCATTTTTTAACAACTATAAAAAATGGAGTCTTGATATAAGAAATGAAGCCTTTTTTTCCCACAAGGTTTAAATTTAATATGTACGTGTTTTTTTTTGTTTTTGTTTTTTTTAATTTATTTAGGTGCCCCAAGAAGTCCTTAGAGGTCGTCCTTAAATTACGTCACGCACTAGGGGGAGGGGGGGGGTGAGGGGTTAGTGGTTTTGTGACGATTTGTTACGAGGGGGAGGGGGTATCTGATTTTGTGACGCAACAATTTTTTATATAATTAATGTAAGCATTAGTTGATGATTGTTGTTATAAATATGATAATTGTAAGTTGCTAAATAAATATATGACAGAACTGATTTTTAAGTTGTAAGAACGACTAAGAATTAACAAAATCAAATACTTTGAATATCGGATTATTCTATTTGTCATTAGAAGCAAAAAATCTATTCAAATAAACAAAACTTTGAAAAGGGGGTTGTTAACGAATTACGTCACCCAATTTTCTACCTTTTTAACTCTTATTCTCAAGTCAAATCATTGTAACTTTTATCACAAAACTGTTATCACAAAACCACTAATCCAATCCCCCCCCCCCTCCTATATCCCTAAACCGTGACGTAATTCACCTCCCGGTTCGGATAACTCAAAGATTATTTAAATTTAATGTTAAAATTATTATACAAAATAATGTAAAGGTTTATTATATTTCATGTAAAAAACTCAAATAAAAAAAAATTAAATTTTCTTTCCCCCTATTCGAAGAATTTTTAATCCCCTAACGAGCTAATAGCTCGTTAAGGAATTAAAATTGCTTTGAATAGGCGGAACCTTCTTAACCGGTAGCTCACAGTGTTGTAATATTCAAAACATATGCGCTTTTAAAATTCAAATTCTACATATAATCTTCTCTACCTGTTGTTTTGTCGTAGTAATTTGTTGTTTTGTCTTTCAAAATCGAATAAAGAATCTTTATTTTTATTTTTTATTTTTTATCATTAACAATTTTTTATAATCAAATTAAAAAATGGATCGAGGCGTTTTATACAAAGAACTATACGAAGGATTTGTAAAAGCTTATGGCCATTCTAAGTCAAAACAAAACTGCCAAAAAGAAATAAATATCATATGGAATGAAATAAAAAATGATGAAAAACTTCCTGAAAAAGTAAAAGAATTATTAAACATATTCAACAAAAGCAATGAAAGTAAAAGGAAAGTTGTTTAATTACTGGTCGTCAACTGCAACAAAATCCTCAATTTCTCATGACAAAGAAAACAAATCAAATCTTGTTGAAGTTGATAAATCAAAAGCTTTATTTCACGTAGCCTCTGATGAAATTGACTTTGTAGCAGAACCATCTCAAGTAACTAAATCAAGTACTGCAGATTTAATTGTGCAATGTGTAGACGGAGAGAAAAGTTCAAGATTCACTAAAATAAGAAATTAATGTGATTAATGGAGATTTGATTGGGTTGATGAAGAGAAAAGAATGCGGACAGTTAACATCGGCGCAAGAAAATGAGCTTATAGAAGAGAAGAAGAAGAAAAAAGAACTAGAAAAGAACTTAAAGAAGAAAAAAGATTCAATGTTGAGAAAAGTTCAGAAGTTTGGAAGTTCAGAAGTAATAGGAGGGAAGCCTTAAAAAAGCTATGCAAATCATCTCCATCAGCAAAAAAGACTCTCCACCTTCAAATGACAAGTGGGCATCCACGAATTGAAGAAATACAACCGGATTTACTAAAAACTATTTGTGATATTGCTCTTTACGGTTCAGCAGCTCATGAAAAAAGAAGAGATGCTGTTGTTAGAAGTACAAAAACGTCAAGTGAATTGACTGAAACTTTGAAAGAGGTAATTTGTAGTTTTGAGAATTAGGACTACCGTGAAAAAGTAAATACTTTGACTTTATAATATACTAAGCAAATTATCTCATTTAGTTAATTATTTATAAAACTTTTATTGATGAAGTTGTTCCTTTTTTTAATCGATTTAAGTTTTTTTGTCAAGTAGCTATTTAATTTACATTTGATAAGTTTATAGAAAAATAAACGCACCATTTAGTTTATCGGTTTTAAGGAAACTAAATTTTATTTTTCAGCTAGGTTTTCAAGTTAGTAGAAGCGGTACTTATCTTCGATTGAATCCAAGAAACAGCGCAACTCAAGAAGGGAAGAGGCATATAAAAACTGTCCCAGTTAAGTTAATTAGATCCCAAAATGATAAACATGCCAAACATATTGATGGGAAATTCTGTACAGAAACAATCAGGCGTCTTAAAGAGATATCATCTCTCCTTGGTCCAAAAGAAGTTTTTTTTCTCAGTCAGGACGACAAAGCCAGGGTATTATAAGTTTTTTTATTTATTTATTTTTTCATATCAAGAAAAATTTAATCTGCATTATTATCACATTGTTTTAGGTTCCGATTGGATTGACTGCTGCAAATAAGCAAGCACCGTTGCTTATGCATATGGAGTATAGAGTTACTCTACCAGATCATCACTGGGTTATTGCTAATAAACACAAATTGATCCCATCTGTGTACGCTGCTATTGAAGTGCACTCAGATGGTTTAGGGAAACCGAGTTTCGTAGGTTACTCCGGCCCTACATATATAGCTGTTAGATCTGGAAAACATTCGTCATCGACTGCTTTATCTCACGCTCTTGATTTTAATAAATTAATTGACTTAAAAGAATTTCAGGATTTTTCTAAAAATGGTTCCTTTGTTAAACCAGTTGTCATCTTGACTGTAGATGGAGGTCCAGATGAGAACCCTCGTTATCAAAAGGTATTCTTTTAAGTAAATAAATTATATTAGCTTAGTTAATCCCATAATAAATTAAATATTTTTTAAAGGTAATTGAGGTAGCAGTTCATCATTTTCTTGAGCATGATCTAGATTGTCTATTTTTGGCTGCAAATGCACCAGGAAAAAGCGCTTTTAATCGAGTCGAGAGAAGAATGTCACCATTAAGTCGTGAACTTTCAGGCGTGATCCTACCTCATGATAATTATGGAAACCATCTTAACAATGCTGGTTTTACGATAGATAATACTCTTGAAAAAATAAATTTCCAGTATGCTGGTGAAACTCTTGCGGAAATCTGGTCTAATGTTTCAATTGACAAGTTTCCTGTAGTTGCTGAATTTATTGTTCCAGAAAAATCAGAAATCTTATATAGTACTTTAAAAACCAAGGACAGCTTCTGGTATGCTCGTCATGTGCAAACAAGTCAGTATTTTCTCCAAATAGTTAAGTGTGAAAATCGGAATTGCTGTAAACAACCAAGAGGATCATATTTTACAGTCATTCCTGATCGTTTTTTTCCACCATTGATACCGCTATCACAACTCCCAGAGGGACGGCTCCAAGTTCCGAACTTTTTTCTGTTAGTAAAGTAGTTTTTACCTTTCTAGGTAAAAACTACTTATGATTGTATTTGGGGTAAACAGAACTGTTTATTGCGAACCGCTATTAAATTGTCTCAAGGCCTTAAACATTTATAAAATAAACATTTACCTAGTCAAGTAGTTTTTACCTTTCTCGTGGACAGATCAACAGTTGTTGATCTGTCCACGAGACTAATTTGACGGTTTATTAAAAATGTTTATTTTAATTTTTTGCGTGTTGAATAGTTTTTTTTATTATTAATTCAAAATCTGTACTCCGTAAAAATAATAATTTGTATACGCGTACGAATAATAACGTTGATTTTAAACTGTAACAATTAATTAATAAAAAACTGCTAAGTAAATTTTTATTATTATAATGTATAAAACATTTTTTAAAAATTGTATTTTTTTTTTTTTTTTTTGGGGGGGGGGGGGTTTGAATTTGTTGCGTAATTTAAGGGGGGGGGGGTCAGTTAAGCGTTACGATCTGTGACAGGGGGGGGGGAGAAATTTGTAAAAAATTGTAAAAAACTGCGTGACGTAATTTATGGACGACCCCTTTATATATATATATATATATATATATATATATATATATATATATATATATATATATATATATATATATATATATATATATATATATATATATATATATATATATAAATTAGTAGAAAATCACTTAGCAAAATTTTTTCTCATTTTACACTGTGTTTTATGAAACACAGTTTTACACTGTGTTTCATGAAGCACAGTGTAAAATGAGAAAAAACTTTGCTAAGTGATTTTCTACTAATTTGTAATTGCTCTGTTTTTTTAAGAACATTGAGCACTCTTTTTGTAGAATACATTTTAAATTGTTTAAATATATATATATATATATATATATATATATATATATATATATATATATATATATATATATATATATATATATATATATATATAATAAATAATAAGAAAAAAAAATACAAATAAAGATATAGTTTTAAAAACGAATAATAAATAAAGAATCGGAAAACTCGAGTAGGACCAGGATGCCACCGAGAAACCGCTCAAGCTAAAATAAAATGATTTAAATGATTATAACGTTAATATTTAAATGTATATTTTCTTAATATTTTTTTAAAAATATTCCATCGATGAGATCTCAGCCTCTAAAAAAACACATTTGTAAAATATTTTATTATCAAATTTTTCAAACTGCGAGCTTTTCTTTGCTTTTGAGTGTCCACGGCGTTTGCAGTAATCAATCGAACATACTTTGACTTTTGAGATCGTTTTAAATAAGCAATAATTTTAAATTTAATAATATAACAATAAAACTGTTAAAGAACTGTCATTAAAACTACAATTAATAACAGCGCTTTTTTTGGGAATGAATGCCTCCATTATCAACATATTTTATAAGTTTGTCAAATAGTTTACATTAAGTTTAAATTTGTCAATTTCAAATCAACCAATAAAATTTTATTTTAATGAATTAAAAATCTTGCCGGTCAAAATGTCCGATGACTTTGTAAATTGATCGGACAATCTGAGGTTTTAGCCGGACAATGTCCGATGTCCGACTGTTAAATTAAGCCCTGGTATTGTAATAATGTGTAATAATGTGTGGTATTGTAATAATGTGCGGTATTGTAATAATGTGTGGTATTATAATATTGTGTGGTATGATTGGTTTACTTTTTATACTTCTGAAGACTGAAAGCAAAAATCAGTTTGCTCTAGAAAAATTAAAATTAACTGAAACTTTTTTTCAGTATTACCCAACTATTATCAATATTTTTAATAAGTAATTGATTATTGGTATAATCAATAAAATTAAGTTTTTTACGTGTAATCAATAAAATTAAGTTCTTTACGTATCTGTGGGTACCATTACTTTTAAATAATACTATAGTACAATTATAGAGATGTATCATTTTTATTTTAAAGTAAAGTTAATTTTTATTGAAGACTTATGTATATGTATATACATTTATTACAGCCCAATAATAAATGTGGATATACATATATAGATGCACGATACGACACCACTGATAACATCATACTAATTAGGGAGCTGTATACATAGCTTCTTGTAAAATCTAGTATTCCTGAAGGAGATGTTTAGTACTATAAGTAAATTTTTTTACAAAGAAAATTGAGGAAGAGTTCATAGCAAGTAAACTCCAATCAAGTCTTTGTTGGCGTACATTAATTAGGTGACCTAATTAACAGTATGTTTTGCACCTTCTAACATTATGTGCAATCCTGTCCGCTTTTTCTATGCTATCTTTCTAACACGCTTCTTTTGACTTTCACTTTGACAAACTCATCTTACTCTCGGTCTATAGAGCGGGTTATGGCGCTCCTTTTGGAGCTTAACCAGTCTTTGCAGGCCTTGGTAATGTGGCCTCTATATGGCAATTAGCTGGAGGTAGATAAACCACAATACCAGTAAAGTTTTTTACTGTTAAAAATCTAAAGAATCTATTTGGGTTTGAAAAAAAGGCACAGAAGGGCAAACTATTTTTTGTTTATAGTTTTATTCTTCATAGTTACTCTTTTTCTATTTCCTTTACCACTTAATCATCACTAGACAAAAAAGTGTCATCATTCATCATCATATCATCATCATCAAGGAAATCGTTAATAATTTTTGGTCATAATTCACGTCCACTTGGTCAACTTTTTTGACTTACTACTTTACTAATACTTTTTGCTTGCTTGTAGTGTATTAGGTAAAATTGTACAGAAAATTACTTTTGATTAGAAAAACAAATAAAATTTTATTTTAAATTTTTAAATAGTAATAACATTCAATTGTCATCTTTTTAAATATAAGTTAATGTACCCATCCAAACTATTTCTAAATATACACCAAGTGTTTTTAAAGTTTAAGGATGGTGTTTAATTAGAGTTGGATAATGAAAAATATTGACTTCTAAAACTAAAGGTCTTTAACAAGTTATAATTTTTCTTTATAAGCCTCAGCCTTATCAAAGTTTTAATTGTAAAAGGTTTTGTTGGAGGAGTCTATTTTTGTAAGACATCAGTAAAAAGAATAAAGGTAATAATTATCAAAGCTTTTGTTAAATATTGTTTAAAATTTATCATAAAATTTTATTTAGTATTATAATATCATAATATTGGAACATTATTTAATGTTTTTTTCTTCAATTAGATTTTGATACCTGTCAAGAACTCTAAAGAAAAAATTAAAATTTTATAAGTTGATAATATTACCACTACTTCAAAGTTTATTTCAAAAAAAAAATTAAATTTTGATTTCACTATTCAACCCACGCCCACCTCTCATTTTAAATCAACGAATCAGATTTCTTTGCGTTGTCTATGTCTGTGTATAGTTTCAAAATATAAAACCAGGGCTAGTTAGCAGCACCTGTTCTGCAGGTTAGTTGCAAGCAGGCATAAGTTAACGAATTGTGTTTATATTCCAAGTCTTTCAAACATAAACCCGATTTTACTTTCCAAATTGACTATTTCATCTATAACTGTAGTATTGTTATGTATGTTTGTGTGAGTTCGCGCACGACACACGTAGTATTGTTATGTATTTTTGTGTGAGTTCGCGCACGACACACGTAGTATTGTTATGTATGTTTGTGTGAGTTCGCGCACGACACACGTAGTATTGTTATGTATTTTTGTGTGAGTTCGCGCACGACACACGTAGTATTGTTATGTATGTTTGTGTGAGTTCGCGCACGACACACGTAGTATTGTTATGTATGTTTGTGTGAGTTCGCGCACGACACACGTAGTATTGTTATGTATGTGCATAGATAATATTATGAATTATGTGATTTATGCGTAATTTTGACATGAAAGTAACTTTTAATTTTAACTAATAATTTTTGAAATAATAATGCAGTAATAATTATTTTTATAGTTAACACAAACTTACCCGGGGGTAAGTTGATAGTATTAGTTTAATTAATCATATTAAAAATATTTAGGGTTAAAAAAAAGTTCAGTAAATTTTATTAATTTATATTGTTTCGTTAAATAAAACTTAATATCTTTTTATTTGATTAAATTAAAGCTTGTATTAAAAGATTTGATTATTGTAATTTGAGTTTTTTGCAATATTCACTTTCTTATGTAAAAAAACTCGACAAAAGTTCTGACTATCTCACAAAGTTCGTATCAAACTATCACCGGTTGAATTTTTCGTCTATAAAGCAAAATTTGAGATGATTCAAGGTTTTTTTTTCTTCAATTAATGAGTGTTGTATTAAAAGATAATAATAATTTAGTGTACACATTTATGTTATGAAGCAATTATTCTGTTTTTTTTGCTAAAATAAAATGTTTTTTTTTGTAAAAAAATAATAATAATAACGTATGGTTTTGCATACGTCACAAATACTATCAAAACTAGTACAGACTCCAATGCAGACAAACAAATCAAAGCATGGCGGTAAAATTTGTGACTTCTAGCTGTATTGGTATCTAAGATAACGGCTTTCCTGACGCTAAACTGTTTTAAACTCCAATTGAATGGAGTTTAAATGAGCTTAAGGCTGCGAGAATTAGATTGCTGATATACCACAACGTAAAGAAAGATAGCTTTTAAAGAGTGGATTAATTAAAATGTAGAAAATAATTTTTTATCTGAAATTGACATTTTTTTTTATTAAAGGACGACTTCAATGAAATCTAAAAAACATTTAGTTGATTCGTTTTTGTAGTTATTAGCATTGATAGTGGATATGTTAAATAGACTTTGTTTAGTTTCAGAACTAGTGAAGTTTTTCTGTGACTGTTCGTAAGTACTCCAAAAACTCTTATTCGTCTAGTTTTTTTCCTCCAACATCAGTTCTTTGGAATTCGCTTCCTTTATCTTGCTTCTCTGATTCATATAATTTGCAATCTTTTAAGTCGCCTGTCAAATTTTATCTTGCTCTACAATCTTAATCTTTTCTCTTCCAGTAACTTCCAACATTAGTGGTTGGTTGCAGCCTTGCTTCCAACATTAGTGGTTGGTTCCAATTCTAGTG